TTACACCATAGCCAGCATTACTGCTGATATAGTGTGGTGTGTAAGGGTCTGTGTTTTGTAAGGATGGAACTGTTTGGGGAGGTTTTACTCTCCTCTGTCATTTGGTATTTGATAGATTTTAGCTCACCTGTACAAAGGACAAGTGACTTAATGCTAATGTATGGCATCTATCATTCCTCTGTCAACTTTTCATTTAAAAGACCACTTATTTAGAACAGCTAAACAGCTTTGGACAAAATTTGATGGAATGTCGCTGTGCCAAGGGGACTCATAACATTGTACGAACATTGTTGCATAATTAGACATACCAATTCACTGGGGCTTTGTTGGTAGTTATCGCTCTCTGACGCGCTTTGTGTTGAATTTGTATTAATGTAGGTGGTTCTATAATGCCCAGACCTATCTGTCTAGATCTACTTTCACTTTCCCTTTACTTAACAATTAATTGTATGGCAGGGTGACAGGCTGATGTATGTGTCTGTTTATAATCTACTCTCACATTGCCTTTACTGACAGTGTGTACAGACCCTGTGATGTATCACTGTGATGCTGAAATGACACACCCTCATTTTATGATCCCCAGCTGGGATAGCCCCCTCCGTAAAACTCCTCCACCACCACCGCCATCATCACCTGTGACCACAGAGCACCTCGTCTCTAGCCTGATCGATAAATCAAACATAATCAAGATTGATTTGCCATTAATCAAACCAGCTTTAAATGATTATACAAGCAATTAGTGACGGAGGTTAGATGGAGACGGATTAAGTAATGGATTGCTTTGTCCTTTGGTGTCTCCTACAAATTATCTGTAGCCACAAACCAATATGTCAATTCCTGCCATACACATCGTCTATAATACTATTACACAGTTGTCTTGCTATATTTATCCTCTGCTGGGAATCTTTACTTGAGCAGTGTCCATTCCTCGGTTCATCCGTCTGTCCTTCCTATGTTATTGTTTCCTTACCGGTATGTGAAATATGTTAAGGATATTTTTATAAGGTATTGAACACATATCAAGCTGAAGGTATAGTTGTGCCTTTTATTGAGTGCATCAGGTGTAATATTTCATATTTATTTTACTTCTTCTCAAGAATTGATGGATAGATTTCATTCAAACTTGAGAAGTGGAACCATGCTTAGGTGATGGTCTTTTAAGCTTATCAAGAATTAAATGGAAAACTTTTTACTATCTTTAGAACAATTGAAATTCAAAACAAAAAACTACATATATATAGACTCATTACAATCATTTGAAATATCTGTCAAAAACATTTGTAAAATTTCAAATATTTTTCAAAACCATCCTTTTTTTGCTGCAAAACAAAATCTCAGTTTGGGAGGAAACATACAAACAAGAAATAGATCTCTATGAGATAATGTAGGCCAACATAGGATCTGAAGCCTAACATACTTACATGTAGGAAGGAATCGAGATAACTATCAAAAGCTTTTCATTTCTGAATTTTTGCTTGTTCTCAGCTTGTACTTGTATCAATCACTCTTTTGATGTATGTCTACAGTAGTCAGGCCCCCTGGGCATGGTGTGTAGTATATATGTTACCATGGAAACAAGTTGTAAAATTACGATCAAAGGTATCAAACATGGAATGTTTATCGTGTCAAATAATTCATCTGAAGAATGTTCCTAAGGTCAGATATGGATCATCCGTTCTGAGACATAGAAATGCAGCAGGTATAAGGATATTTGTATGGACATATGCATTTCTCATGAAACAAGGTGTAAGATACCCCATTCCAGTATTAGATATAGATCCCCAGGTCGCGGGGATTATGAGGTAACCAGATTTGTCTGTCGGTGTTTTCAAAGCTTACGCAAGCAGTGTCAGACAGACTGATGGAGGCTGAGATTTGGGAAGTGCATAGAGAGATTTGCCAAAATCCCCAGGGCTTCTTCTCCTAGAGATAAAAATGAAAATTGAATTGCATAACCTCAGCTGCATTGTAGGTATAGAACAACGTCAATATCAAATCTGAGGAAATGAAGCACAAAGTCTGTCCGAGTTGTACCCAGACAGCTGGTGAAACAGCTGGAAACGTCGTGACATATTGGTAATCTGTAATAACAGAATACAAGCGTCATAGTGTTCTCGATCTAAAACTTAAAGTTCATAAATTAATTAAGCATTAATTAGGGATCCCTCTTGTGTGTTGTTCGCATGAATAGTTTCTGTGAGATAACTCCTGAAGAACTGCTTTAATTTGACTTTCATCAAACTTTTTTTACATAAACCAAAAACATACGTACCAATTACTAGCTCAAGTTCAATTTTGAACCAAAAATTGGAATGCTCCAAGTGATATTCACAAATGATGTAAGGTGGTAATTTTGTGTTCTGTCGGAGATAAAAGGTCAGTAGGGGTGGTTTTCTATCCTCATTGTATGTTTTGAATATTGTATGTGCAGACAGACTTATTATTGATGAAATGCAGATTAACAGAAAGAAACAAATGATTGTCTTCAGACTCTGTGAGCTCACCCTGGACATTTCCATTTTGTGTGTGTTTTTGTTGTGTTTTCGCTTGTATTGTACGTAGTTAACAGGATTATTTCATCAGTTTCTTCTCTTTCGTTATTTTGCTCCAGCACTGTTTTGAAATGTCAAAGTTCATAACACAAACAAGAAATAACTTTCCCTTTCTAAATCTTTAATGAAGCCTACCGTCCGTTGCTCTGGTATTTGTTTGTGACATTACAAAGAGACGTGTACATCCAGTCAGATATTGAGTTCGTAAGCCACACAGAATGTTAGGACATTTAGAACTCGGATAGAAGTGATAGTTTTATTGAGTAATACAATGTGTGGGTTGATACAACATCTGAGTACGGTAGCCACACTGATGTCAGGATAGCAGAAACGTGTCACTTTCTGTCTAGTTCTGATATCAAAGAAAAAGAGCAATACAGGCCTGATAGACCTCTTCTATTAATAAAGAGAACAACTGTAGATCTATTTGAAGGTATTTGTGAAGATAATGTCAACAAATGTGTTTTGAGGTAAACTGTGCCATATGGTATACATTATACTGGCCACACAACAAAATGTCATATTGTGACTTGAGCGTACAATGACCTGCAGTGATAGCTGCTTGGCCTGCATTTTAATGGTCATCACCTGCACTGTGAGTTTTGAAACCTTGACAAGTTTGTGTGAAGTCTTGTCAGAGTTGGCTGAGATGATGTATTGGTATGGCATTTTTATATACAGGAATAAACTCCCAGAAGGTTTCCAGAGGAGGGGAAGGGGGGCACATTTAAGAGAGTACAATTGATCTGCTGCCCTAGTTCCTATAACATTTCTTCAGATAGGAATCTTTTCCTTTTGTTCATAATATTTTTTTTATTTTTTTTTACCTGTTTGATGGTTGAGAGATCTATATATGCAGGGAGTTTATCACTGGCCAGTGTTTGTACCGCACAGCCCAGACTGTCTGATACAATTATAATTCTTATGGCGAAAAAACAGCAGAATATGTATCATGAACTCGGACTACATAACTTGATTATCAATTCTCATAAGGATATTTCCTATTCATGACTTTGGAGTTAAATTGAAACTTGGATTGAAACCTTGTCTGGTATAAAGATGTTGTACTGCGCAGCCCAAGATTATACATCAGATATATACTGTGCAGTATAAGTCTATACTTCAGATATGTACTACTGAATTTTACACGTTACTACAATTTTTAGCTCACCTAAGTTAAAGTTTCAAGTTAGCTGATGCCTTAATGCAGTGTCAGTTGTCAACAATTTTTTCTTTAGAAAAGATGGCAAGTCCAGAAAGGCTGAAATTATTTCAACTTAATTCAATTGGTCTAGGGATTTAATGGTCTCTTTGGAGGCTGCAGAGGTGTGGACCTAATGGAATAGAGTATCCGTGGGCCTGAGGTAATTCAGAGGGAATTCAGCGTTGTATGAATTAAAAGTGTGACACCCCTGGCTGTAGCAGGAAGACAGGAATAAACAAACAAGATATGATAACAATTGGTCATTATCTGTAGCAATAATCGTTCATTAGTTATTGATTAACATTTACACCAATTATCATTTACTATTGATAGCAACTAACAGGAGGAATTTATAGCTAGCAGTTGATGTATACAAGGGATTGTTATAGTCCTGTACCATAGTTATAGGGAGTGTACACTGGAACCACTGGGGACCACATAGCAGCTGGTCTGGTTCTGCCTACTCAGGCTCCAGGGTTGCTAATTTAGGTTCTTTTAGCAGGACACTCACCTGCCTAGAGTGGAATATGGTTTGGCCCCGGGTTGGATATTACAGTTTTGTGCTGTATTAATTCAAGTGGTAAGGAATTCTTAAATGAGCTGCTATAAATACTGACCCATAAGAAGCAGAACACCTATAAATATACACTCTCCAGGACAAACACATTCACTTCTCCATATGTATAGAGGTACACAAAGGGTATCACATAGAGAGATGGGCTGTTTAATTTGTTGAATATGTATGTTGGTATACATATATACTCTGGTCATCCCTTGAATGTTAAGTCTCTTGGAGAGGTTTCCTTGACATTAGGTAGGAAGCTATACTTGTGTTGTTTTAAATTATAATGACATGGTTATGTGCCCTGACATCTATTCGTCCGTTTGCAGTCTAAAGACATAAGTTTGTCAAAGCTACTCCTCAAGTACTGCATAGATTTAAATGAAACTTAAACTTTATAAATTAACAAAGTATAGATGTAATTTATTTTTCAACACTTTTTCCGTGCTATGCCATTCCCTGATTAAATGTGATCTGGACAATTCCATCTAATCTGCTCAGTCCATTTCAACACACTTTTATGACAAGTAGCTAAAGTGATTTATTGTCAGCAAATTATTTAAATTTCAGGCCCTTTCTGGCTTGTTAGGAGTGGCAGGAGGGTATTTAGGTTTTATGGGGGGTTAGTATACATATTTGTTTACTATATTAGCAGTGTGTTTAATGACCTGGTAATTTTTAGGGATGAAGAGGGACAAACTGAGAGAGAAGACACAGTTAAACACAGATACAAGAATAATGAGAAGAATGATCAAGTTTCATGTCAAATGTATGTACCATTACAAAATTATATGTTAAGTAGGCCTCAAACTGTTTTATCAGGTTATATTTGGATTTAAATGTCGATCTGAAATACTGTATATATAAGTATGGCATAGATGGCACTATGTGTCCTAGCTTTGGCACTACTTGTCCTCGCTTTGGCACTATGTGTCCTAGCTTTGACAACATGTGTCCTAGCTTTGACAAGCTTTGACAATATGCGTCCTAGCTTTGACAAGCTTTGATGGTATGTGTCTTAGCTTTGACAGTGTTTGTCCTAGATTTGACATATATGACAAATGTCTAATGTTAACATCGTTTGGGTCTAAGCTTTAATCAGCTGATGTTAAAATGGCATGTCTTGTCCAATTTTAACATGGTGTTATGGGCAGCCTTTGATTGGTATGGGCCTGCTCTGTTGGAGATATGATCCGTTAGGATATTGATATGGACATGCATCTATCGTGTTATTCAGTTTTCAATTTGCAAAATTCATGGTGTTGTGTCGCTTTTGACAGAAGCTCATCCGTTGTAGCATTACAAAGTCCACAGAAAAATCACTCTGCATTTCCATCATTCACCGCCTCACTTGGATTCTGTTTTCAGGTCGGACATTGACATTTGTGTTGACTTTATTCTTCAATAAGGATGTTACTAGGAATTGGATATTTATTGCTGTGTTTACATTCGTGTTTTTTTTTAATGTATGACTCAAATTCATAAAAATGATATGTGTAAACAGTTAATAAACATTAAAAATAATCCTTCATATTATCTTGTGTGTCTCAATTTGTGTGCAAATCTACCCAGGCTTATACAGGTTCTCACACGCCAGTAGTTTAGAAGGTTCCATCACTGTAGCATAGGATCCATCAGGACTAACCTTCGCTATGCAACATCAAGTGTGGAATCATCCAGAGGGTTGTATGCTGTGAACAAACACAGCATGTTGTATTTGTCTGTGAACTTTAAAATTCTAAGTGTTGCTATTTTCAAATAAATGATCTGACGATGTCAATCTTAAAATTGCAGCTTCTTCATTATTAAACCAGCTGTCCAAATAAATCAACTTGACTTATCTTAAGATTAAAATGTGTTCAAGCAACTTCTTCTAAAGAACTATAATACCTACAGTACCAATATTTAATTAGTCCATTGAGTTATCTAAATAAGAAATATTATATGACCACTAGGCCCTCTTAATTTGCTGCTACAGCTGTATTTACATTTTTGACTTTAACTAGATCTTCCAATACAACTGAATACTAGGTGAGTGATACATGCCCTTTGGGCCTCTTGTATGTAGAGGGATTTATTACATTGTGAATCAAAAGTGTGTGTAGGTGAGGAGAACGTGTGACTGGAAAGGTGTGTGTGTATGAAGATAGAGTGAGTAGGAAAACGTGAGGTAGGAGTTAGGATAGTGGGACCACCAGATTAAGGATGGCTGATGTAACAAGGCTGGATAGTTAATAAGTGGGACAACTTGATTTGTGGTGACTTGATAGTGGGACCACCAGATTAAGGATGGCTGATGTAACAAGGCTGGATAGTTAATAAGTGGGACAACTTGATTTGTGGTGACTTGATAGTGGGACCACCAGATTAAGGATGGCTGATGTAACAAGGCTGGATAGTTGTACAAGTGGGACAACTTGATTTGTGGTGACTGGATAATGGGACAACCAGACCACTGGGCTGGTGGATTGATTAACGAGGATTAGCTTCATTAATAGTCATTATATGCAGATTTTTTACTAATTTCTTTCCCAAAGCTAATATTGGTGTGCAGCAGACATGTTTTCGTTTTGATTATCTCAAAAAATGTTAGGCGGATAAGGTTACCTCCCTTTTGTATCATACTAAGAAATATGTCCACCGTTTTATCACCAAGGGCCAACGAAATTAACAATGTTTCTCCAGTTATTTTAAGACCCAGGAACGCCACAACTATAAACCCGCACCTACCAGCGTACCGGGGTTCAAACGTTGTAGATGTAATTGTCGAAAGAATTTAATTGAAGACATATTCACACTTAAAGCTTGGTCACATGAGACCACAGACTGGTTCACCTTGAAGAAAATGGTAATAGCATCAATAAATTGGACTATTTAAGTAAACCTATGCTTTATATCTGAGCTACTGAACGGCTTTTTAACACAATTTTACACTGTAATTGATGTGACTGAAAAAAGTTGGCACACACAGTTTTACATCACAATGGGTCTGTCGTCTAAGAAAATTAATTTACATCGGGTTAAGTTCCTACCTCGCGGGACTTTAATTGGATCTAGATATATTATGTTAACAACATCACAGCCTAACCATATGATCAGTGGTCATTCATTCTGATGTATGCCACGTTCTAGCATCAACCTTTCCTACTACTACTACTAGCTGGCTTGTCCTGAAGGGCTGAAAGGTTTGACGATGATAATCTATAGGTCAGAGGATATAAATGTTGTGTAGTAGTGTTCTGTCTCCAAACCACTCCAAACCAACCCTCAGAGCAAGCGGGCAGGGCTCAAAATAGGAAATAGGGTGTTCATCTTTTAAAGACTAATTCTTAAGTATGGTTGAAGGGATTTCAACCTCACTTGTCATAGACACTGCTTGATCAAGGAAATAGTTTGGTCTACTTCTGAGAAAAAGATTGAGGCCCGAAAATGGAAATTGGGGTAAATATTTTAAAACTAAACATAGTTAAGACTTCTGATATTATTTGACATGGAGAATTCCTCAGCAAAGGAAATACATTTTTGTATAAATGAAGGGTGTGGTCCCTATTGGGGTGGAGGGGTGGGGCCTGGAAAGGGAAACCTGGAGTACAGTTAATCTTTGTACAGTAGCACCCATGAGAGTAGAGTAATGAGCATTGTAGTGGCTGTGTGGTTATTTATTTGAAAAACTATGTGCATCACATCAGGATTGTATGTATGTACAGTGATTGCCAGTACTTTAGTTCTCTGGTTTATTGCATTATCTAAATTGATCATCTTTATTTGACGTTTCATGGTATGACAAACTGTCTGCTCTTGGGGGGGGGGGGGGGGGAAAACATGATTTGGTAAAATGAGAAAAAATCATAGAAATTTTGATACTTGTTAGCTAAGTAACTCTGAGGAGGACAAAGGAAATGTCAATATTGAGTTTGGCCTAACACATAAGCCTATGGGAAATCATTCCTGGTGTGATCGCCCCTTGTTCTGTAACCTAGCAAATATGGGATGCTGCAGTTTGTATGTGTGAGGAGTAAAGGGACTTTAGGACATTGTTCTTTCAGTCATCTCTCTAACATTGTTTGTTCTACCATTACAGGGGTCATTTCAGAACATTCAGTAGTAATTGTTTAACATGTCTCTGATTCTGTTTACTTCGACTTGTCACAGGTATGCAGCCCACTGGTGACGTCGCTTCAAATGTACCCCAGGAACTTGCAGACCTTGTGGCGAAGCTTGTCCTGGAAAAGTTCAGTGAGCTCACAAATGGCTTCACGAGCCCTCAGGCACGACGGAAGGTGCTTGCTGGTGTTGTCATGACAACTGGGGAGGATGCTACCAACGCCAAGGTGCTATGTGTTACCACGGGAACCAAGTGTATCAATGGGGAGTACATGAGTGATAAGGGGATGTCCTTGAATGACTGTCACGCAGAAATCCTATCACGTCGCTGTGTGCTCCGCTTCCTGCATGCAGAGCTTGCCAAACATCTTTCCAAGGAGGAAGATGTGAATAACACTTCGATATTTGATGATCGTGAGGGGGGAGGGTTCGCACTCCGCGAGGGTGTGCACTTTCACCTGTATGTGAGTACCGCCCCCTGTGGAGACTCGCGTATCTTCTCGCCCCACGAAACAGCAAGTGAGCCTGGAGATTCAGGTGACAAACACCCCAATCGTAAGGCCCGGGGACAGCTACGCACAAAGATTGAGTCGGGTGAAGGCACCATACCTATAAAGCCATCGGCAGGCATACAGACCTGGGATGGCATACTGGAAGGCGAGCGACTCCTCACCATGTCCTGTAGTGATAAGATAGCACGCTGGAATGTCCTCGGTATTCAAGGTCAGTATTTCTGGTGAAGGATGAATCCATAGGTTAAACACTAGGTCCGATGGGAATAGTAGCACCTCCACTCTTTCGCCCAAGTATCACTAGCATTCTTAATTCTGATGGAGAACATGGTTACTTGGACATTTGAGTATCACTTCAGTCAATTTCAAATCAAAGTGGATGACAACCATATCTAAGATGCCAAAATGGCCAAGTGAGCTTATGACCTAGTAAAGCGTCTGTCATCCATCTGTCTGTATGTTGTAATTTTTTCCATTTAAATAATAAATAATGTGTTGACACACCCTTCTTTAATGTGTCAACATACCTTTCTTATGTGTCAATATAACCTCCGTAAATGTTAACATAACCTACTTATGTGTCAACATACCCTCCTAATGTGTCAACATTAACCCTTCCTAAGTGTCAACATACCTCCTAATGTGTGAACATACCCTCATATGTGACAACATACCCTCTTAATATGTTAACATACCCTCCTTATGTGTTAATATACCTTCCTAAAGTGACAACATACCCTCCTAATGTGTTAACATACCCTCCTAATGTGTTAACATACCCTCCTAATGTGTCAACATACCCTCCTAATGTGTTAACATACCCTCCTAATGTGTCAACATACCTTTCTAATGTGTCAACATACCCTCCTAATGTGTTAACATACCCTCCTAATGTGTCAACATACCCTCCTAATGTGTTAACATACCCTCCTAATGTGTCAACATACCCTCCCAATGTGTTAACATACCCTCCCAATGTGTTAACATACCCTCCTAATGTGTTAACATACCCTCCTGTGTTAACATACCTCCTAATGTGTTAACATACCCTCCTTATGTGACAACGTATCCTCCTAATGTGTTAACATACCCTCCTAATGTGTTTACATACCTGCCTAATGTGTCAACATACCCTCCTAATGTGTTAACATACCTTCCTAATGTGTCCACATACCTCCTAATGTGACAACATACCCTCCTAATGTGTTAACATACCCTCCTTATGTGACAACGTATCCTCCTAATGTGTTAACATACCTCCTAATGTGTTAACATACCTGCCTAATGTGACAACATACCCTCCTAATGTGTTAACATACCTTCCTAATGTGACAACATACCCTCCTAATGTGTTAACATACCTCCTAATGTGTTAACATACCCTCCTTATGTGACAACGTATCCTCCTAATGTGTTAACATACCTGCCTTATGTGTCAACATACCCTCCTAATGTGACAACATACCTGCCTAATGTGTTAACATACCTCCTAATTTGTCAACATACCCTCCTTATGTGACAACATACTCTCCTAATGTGTTAACATACCTCCTAATGTGTCAACATACCCTCCTAATGTGTTAACATACCCTTCTAATGTGAAAGCATACCTCCTTTTGTGTTAACATACCTTCCTAATGTGTCAACATACCCTCCTAATGTTTTAACATACCCTCCTAATGTGATAACATACCTCCTTTTCTGTTAACATACCTTCCTAATGTGTCAACATACCCTCCTAATGTGTCAACATACCCTCCTACTGTGTCAACATACCTGCCTAATGTGTTAACATACCTTCCCAATGTGTCAACATACCCTCCTAATGTGTCAACATACCTGCCTAATGTGTCAACATACCCTCCTAATGTGTTAACATACCTTTCTAATGTGTTAACATACCCTCCTAATGTGTTAACATACCTGCTTAATGTGTTAACATACCTTCCCAATGTGTCAACATACCCTCCTAATGTGTCAACATACCCTCCTTATGTGTTAACATACCCTCCTAATGTGTCAACATACCCTCCTAATGTGTCAACATACCCTCCTAATGTGTCAACATACCTGCCTAATGTGTCAACATACCTGCCTAATGTGTTAACATACCTTCCCAATGTGTCAACAAACCCTCCTAATGTGTCAACATACCCTCCTTATGTGTTAACATACCCGCTAATGTGTTAACATACCTTTCTAAGTGTCATCATACCCTCCCAATGTGTTAACATACCCTCCTAATGTGTTAACATCCCTCCTAATGTGTCAACATACCCTCCTTATGTGTCAACATACCCTCCTTATGTGTTAACATCCCCTCCTAATGTGTCAACATACCCTCCTAATGTGTTAACATACCTCCTAATGTGTCAACATACCCTCCTTATGTGTTAACATACCTGCTAATGTGTTAACATACCTTTCTAAGTGTCAACATACCCTCCCAATGTGTTAACATACCCTCCTAATGTGTTAACATACCTCCTAATGTGTCAACATCCCCTCCTTATGTGTCAACATACCCTCCTAATGTGTTAACATACCTTTCTAAGTGTCAACATACCCTCCTTATGTGTCAACATACCCTCCTAATGTGTTAACATACCTCCTACTGTGTCAACATACCCTCCTTATGTGTTAACATACCTGCCTAATGTGTTAACATACCCTCCAAAGTGTCAACATACCCTCCTTATGTGTCAACATACCCTCCTTATGTGTCAACATACCCGCCTTATGTGTCGCACACCCTCCTTACATAACATGTTATTTTCACCCCTGTTAAGACCTTCTAGTGCGTGATATCTGCCTTTCCATGAGAAAGATAAGGGAATAAAAAGTGTGCACCAGTAATGACCTGTGTAAAATCTAATCACTGACTACCCGCCTTCCTTTGATCTACCACTTTGTGTTCACCAGTCAATTGTAGCTTTATTAAGTATTCTGTTTTTATGAATGGCATGCTTGTAATGATCTGATACTCAGGCACGTAAGCCTGTGTACTAGATATGTAGTTGTTAATGGTAGCATTAAATAATAGATGTTAAAATACCTGATATTCAAGGTTTGTTAATAATTCAACAATAACATCTAGATGTCCCACAATCCAGCAAACACTAATCTGGTGGTCCCACTATCCAGCAAACACTAATCTGGTAGTCCCACTATCCAGCAAACACTAATCTGGTGGTCCCACTATCCAGCCACCACTAATCTGGTGGTCCAACTATCCAGCCACCACTAATCTGGTGGTCCCACTATTCAGCAAACACTAATCTGGTGGTCCAACTATCCAGCAAACACTAATCTGGTGGTCCCACTATCCAGCAAACACTAATCTGGTGGTCCCTCTATCCAGCAAACACTAATCTAGTTGTCCCACTATCCAGCAAACACTAATCTGGTGGTCCCACTATCCAGCAAATGCTAGTCTGGTGGTCCCACTATCCAGCCACCACTAATCTAGTTGCCCCTCAATTCAGCCATTATATTCACTTATCCAATTGTCCCAATATCCAGCCACCAAATCAATTGCCCCACAATACAGCCACCACTAATCTAGTTGTCCCACAATACAGCCACCACTAATCTAGTTGTCCCACAATACAGCCACCACTAATCTAGTTGTCCCACTATACAGCCACCACTAATCTAGTTGTCCCACTATACAGCCACCACTAATCTAGTTGTCCCACTATACAGCCACCACTAATCTAGTTGTCCCACTATACAGCCACCACTAATCTAGTTGTCCCACTATACAGCCACCACTAATCTAGTTGTCCCACTATACAGCCACCACTAATCTAGTTGTCCCACTATACAGCCACCACTAATCTAGTTGTCCCACTATACAGCCACCACTAATCTAGTTGTCCCACTATACAGCCACCACTAATCTAGTTGTCCCACTATACAGCCACCACTAATCTAGTTGTCCCACTATACAGCCACCACTAATCTAGTTGTCCCACTATACAGCCACCACTAATCTAGTTGTCCCACTATACAGCCACCACTAATCTAGTTGTCCCACAATACAGCCACCACTAATCTAGTTGTCCCACTATACAGCCACCACTAATCTAGTTGTCCCACTATACAGCCACCACTAATCTAGTTGTCCCACTATACAGCCACCACTAATCTAGTTGTCCCACTATACAGCCACCACTAATCTAGTTGTCCCACTATACAGCCACCACTAATCTAGTTGTCCCACTATACAGCCACCACTAATCTAGTTGTCCCACTATACAGCCACCACTAATCTAGTTGTCCCACTATACAGCCACCACTAATCTAGTTGTCCCACTATACAGCCACCACTAATCTAGTTGTCCCACTATACAGCCACCACTAATCTAGTTGTCCCACTATACAGCCACCACTAATCTAGTTGTCCCACTATACAGCCACCACTAATCTAGTTGTCCCACTATACAGCCACCACTAATCTAGTTGTCCCACTATACAGCCACCACTAATCTAGTTGTCCCACTATACAGCCACCACTAATCTAGTTGTCCCACTATACAGCCACCACTAATCTAGTTGTCCCACTATACAGCCACCACTAATCTAGTTGTCCCACTATACAGCCACCACTAATCCAGTTGTCCCACAATACAGCACCACTAATCTAGTTGTCCCACTATACAGCCACCACTATTCTAGTTGTCCCACTATACAGCCACCACTAATCTAGTTGTCCCACTAGACAGCCACCACTAATCCAGTTGTCCCACAATACACCACCACTAATCTAGTTGTCCCACTATACAGGCACCACTAATCTAGTTGTCCCACTATACAGCCACCACTTATCTAGTTGTCCCACAATACAGCCACCACTAATCTAGTTGTCCCACTATCCCATCATATCATCCTTCACCTATGGGATCCGATGTTATGTAAATGAAAAATCTGACTCAGTGGGGCCTGATCAGTATAGGTAAAAAAGGATCCATTTGTCTGACAGGCTGTTTGACAACAGCATCTCCGAAAGAACTGTGCAGGTATTAGTTTACTGGTAGCATCTTAGGTCCTAGGGGAACAAAAGTTAAACAAATAAAAGGGCTGACCCTCCTCGGGGTTGAGAGGGCAAGTGTAAAGACTTAATTCAGCACTTTACTTTCTTTTGTTTCTACATTTTTGTATTGTGGTGGTCGGTTGGCACAGTGGAAAACACACTTGCAATTCACAAAGGTAGCGGGTTTGATTTACCCATTGAATGGGAAATGGTATGGGGTCACCTGCCTGACCTGGGTACTCCAGTTTCCCCCCACATGAAGACCCCCCTGCACACTAACACATCAGGGCCAACAAGAGTGATTAATATAGTTCAAATAACTTGTTTCATAATCGTTGCAAAAATAAATAAAGTTTCTATCTATATATATATATATAGGGACAAAGGTTAAGCAAATGTAATGCTTGCACAAACCATAACTTAATTATCCTTGGCTCTTAGTTTTCAGGTCCCCCTGAGCCGAAGGTTCAAGTAACCAACTGTGGTCCTCTTTAGTCCCTCGTGGCATGTCGGTCCTACATCATCCATTAGCAATTTACATTTCCAACTCAACTGAACTAATGACGGGATTTCATCAATACCTATTGTTATTCATCGGGGCAATTGGAAATCCAATATGGCTGACGTCACTGCCACCAATTTGAAGGGGGGGGGTAAAAATCAAACTTTAAACTAGTGGGCTAATTCAGCAGTAACTTATAATTTACTCATGATCCTGACAATAATGCGCTTTCAGAATTCAATATGGCCACCACAGATGCTGTTTTGAAAAGCTATTTTAAGACTTAAATTCAAGTTCTAATGGATCATTTTAACTCTTACCAAGTAGAAACGATCTTCTAATAATCTTTTGCAAAGTATTGTCAGTATTGAAGTCTATCACAATCCAATATTGCCACCACAGCTGCCATTTTGGAAACTTATTTCAGACTTAAAATCTAAAAGGACAATTTAGAATCGAACTTGGAAGGAACGATCAACTGATGATCCTGTCCAATTGTGTTGTTGATTCTCGAGTCAGTCAGAAATCCAATATGGCACCCATGGCTGACGTTTCCAGGCGTGTTCTTTTTCAGGACCATTAAAAATCCTACATAGCCATTTTGAAACCTATTTGTTTCTTTTTTTTTGGGGGGGGGGGGGGGCAATTAAGCATGATTATTGAGGCCTATAGATAATGAACTGAAAAATATAAAACATAATTGTGAATTTCATGTCCCTTTATCTCACTGTTTGGCTCCTAGGATAGGACTTTTACTAAAGAAATCTAAAGTAAAATTATTATTTTTTCTTATAAATGCTTTATTTCACTGGTTATGGACATGATTAACTATTTTGCGTTTCAAAAATGATTATTTCCGATTCAATTCATGTCTTAACAAAAATATATTATAGTTTAACTGACCCCTTGTTAATAATATTTTTATTGAACTGTTTGTGACCAATAAGAGATGGCCTTATGTAATGTCTTCAAGGACCCTAGAACGTAACATCAATCTGAATTCTGATGACACCAGTACACTAGCTGAATTGTAAACGGCTTTATACCTTATGTCTAGAAGAGTTATTCCCCTTAGAAATAGTGTGTGTAGAAAATGGTCAGTAGTACATCTAGTAGTCTATAGGTTATGTATATCTAAAGGAAATTTATTATGAAAAACTGGAATTTCCTTCTACTTTTATAAGTGCATAAAACAAATGTTTGAATGGATGGTGAATCTATTTAACTTGTTATCAGCTTATTGTGATGTGGTAACAGTAGTTCTGCTCACTTAAATCCTTGTGTAATACCCAGTTGTTTATGTTGACAGCAGCCCTGCTCATTTATATCCTGTGTAATACCCAGTTGTTTATGTTAACAGCAGCCCTGCTCACTTATATCCTGTGTAATACCCAGTTGTTTATGTTGACAGCAGCCCTGCTCACTTATATCCTGTGTAATACCCAGTTGTTTATGTTGACAGCAGCCCTGCTCTCTTAGGTCCTTGTGTAACACCCAGTTGTTTATGTTGACAGCAGCCCTGCTCAGTTATATCCTGGTGTAATACCCAGTTGTTTATTTTGACAGCAGCCCTGTTCACTTATATCCTGGTGTAATACCCAGTTGTTTATGTTGACAGCAGCCCTGCTCACTTATGTCCTTGTGTAATACCCAGTTGTTTATGTTGACAGTAGCCCTGCTCAGTTATATCCTGGTGTAATACCCAGTCGTTTATGTTGACAGCAGCCCTGCTCATTTATATCCTGTGTAATTCCCAGTTGTTTATGTTGACAGCAGCCCTGCTCTCTTAGGTCCTTGTGTAACACCCAGTTGTTTATGTTGACAGAAGCCCTGCTCAGTTATATCCTGGTGTAATACCCAGTTGTTTTTGTTGACAGCAGCCCTGCTCACTTATATCCTTATGTAATACACAATTCTTTTTGTTGACAGGATCCCTGCTGAGCCACTTTGTACAGCCTATCTACTTTGACAGTATAATCCTGGGGAGTCTGTACCACGGTGACCACCTGTCGCGGGCTGTGTGTACACGTCTGTCGGGTATAGAGAATATCTTTGAGCCGTACCACCTCCACCAGCCATACTTGAGTGGCATCAGCAACCCTGAGAGTCGTCAGCCAGGAAAGGCACCAAACTTTGCAGTCAACTGGTGTTGTACAGATTCTAGTGTCGAGGTGATCAACGCTATGACTGGCAAACTTGAGGATGGCGGAGTATCACGCCTGTGTAAAAATTCTTTCTTTGAGTCATTCTCAAAACTGTATGGCTGTCTGCCATCTTTAACCAGCCAGACTGTAGCTGCCAAGCCTAGAACATACTTGGAGGCCAAGGGCTCCGTCATCGACTACCAACTTGCCAAGTCGCAGCTCTTCAAGACATTCCAGACGTTGGGACTTGGCAGCTGGGTGAAGAAACCCTTAGAACAGGACCAGTTCACACTGGACGAGACGCAGGTCTCTTCTCTTAGCTAACCAGGACAGTCATCACATAGTTAGGATAGGACATGATAGGAAGTTGTAAGGTCAAAGTAGACTGGGCATGACAGGAAGTGTAGGTTAAAATAGACTGAAATAGACTGGGCATAACAGGAAGTGTAGGTTAAAATAGACTGAAGTAGGCTGGGCATGACAGGAAGTGTAGGTTAAACTAGACTGAAATAGACTGGACATGACAGGAAGTGTAGGATAAAATAGACTGAAGTAGGCTAGGCATGACAGGAAGTGTCGGTTAAAATAGACTGAAGGAGACTGGGCATGACAGGCAGTGTAGGTTAAAATAGACTAAAATAGACTGGGCATAACAGGAATTGTAGGATAAAATAGACTGAAATAGACTGGGCATAACAGGCAGTGAAGGTTAAAATAGACTGAAGGAGACTGGGCATGACAGGCAATGTAGGTTAAAATAGACTTAAATAGACTGGGCATAACAGGCAGTGAAGGTTAAAATAGACTGAAATAGACTGGGCATGACAGGAAGTGTAGGTTAAAATAGACTGAAGTAGGCTGGGCATGATAGGGAGTGTAGGTTAAAATAGACTGGGCATAACAGACGTTGTAAGATTGGGGTGGAACAAGCATGACAGCAAGTTGTGGAATTTTGACTAGTTGAGAATGACTGAAAGGTGCTAATCATTGCACACATTCAGAATCTCAACATTAGGCATGAAATGTTATGAATGTGTTTGAAACGTCTCTTAATTCCCTGTTCATGTACTCATGATAGAGTCAATATTCATCCAATCAAAATGTCTCAATAAATTCTTAGTAAATCACAGACCAACTCAGCATTAGGCCACACCAAATTAATTTCTGGTTGTTTGTTTTTCTTGCTTTAATAATAAATAAATTCAGTAAGATCTTGTTTGGTGCAGAAACCCAGGGTGTTTTAATAATCAAAAAATCTTCTGTTTTTTTCCCCCATGTGAAATGATTTTTTATGCAATGAACCAAACAGAACTAGCTAGATTACTACTGTAGGGTTGTGTAGGCAATTCAGCTTAAAACATATAGTAATAGTTTAGACCTTAATGTAGGCACATCAAACTATCTATCATTTTTTGGTATGTATTGAATGTGAATGTTTTATAAACTGAATTAAAATGAAGATTTTAACAAAACAATTATATCTACGTCACTTATCAAAACCAACAAAGGCATTTACTATGCCTTTAACCCGTATTATGTGGTTTTAGTTTACACATGATGTGTAAACTCAAGCTATGAAGTCCTTAGCAAGTGCCTGAAGTTGATCTACCAAGAAAACAATCTCAGGACACTCCCCAAACCCAAACATTTGAATCAACTGTACCTAATTTCATTGTTTACTAGAATAAAAGGTGACTTGCTATGAACATACAGGTGTTTTAAAGCAAAAATATGCAAAAATGTAGTGAAAAAATGGGGAAAATAAAAAGGGATGAGGGCGAGTCTTTTTGGTAAAAAAAATCCCATTAAGATAAGAAACTAATTTGGTATGGCCTAATCCTTTAGAGAAAAATCTACAAAATTTGTATAGGAATATTTTCCCATTTTTCCAGTGTCTTTTCCAACAGAACTTTAAAGTTACAATTACAGTTTGTTATAAAGCTTATTGCTTGTTTTTAACTTTTTCAACATAATCATGTGTCGGTCGTTTCTGTCAAACTTCCTGTCTACTTGATGGTCGATAGATACTCTTAACCTGCCCGTGAGAAGTCTACACAATTGTTTGAATGTTGGTATGTGTCCTTTTTAATACATCATTGATTGATTTGTTGACATTTCTATAGATTTATCATCAAAAGATTCTTAACTTTTTATGTAACAAAAATCAAAACTTGTTAAATTGGAAATCCTAGATCTTCAGTCTCAAAATTTTCAATCATTCTTTTCTTACACTTTTTTATGGAACATTTTTTTGAAGTATTGACACAGCAGAGACTATGTGCAGATTTTAATGCTGGCTTTGTACTATGTATGTTAATTCTATTTATATATGATTTTTATCATTTGTCGGGAGTCTTGTACATCTAAAATGGATGTCTCTTACTAACTGATCGAGGTATATAAATTTTGTAAATGCTTATTTCTCTCTCTTTTTAACAAAGTGTCAATTTGAATGTTCCTCGGTTTCCATTGGCTATGGGAGGCGGATGAATACTATTCTTCTTTAGGTTTTTACTTGTAGACTAACTCGGTGTTTAGATGATAATATTTAATGTTGATTTTGTATGCAAAATGAGCTGGAGGCTATTTTTTCAGTTTTATTTATCATATGGTTTTTTTTATGCTTTTGTTTTATTAAAACTATAACTTGAAATAAATGTCCTGTCACATAATGGTATAGAAAATATGTAGAATCTACAGATCGTTCAGCCTGTTAAAGAATTTTGTTTAAATATTTTGCAGAAGAAGAGGAAATTTAACAGTATCAGAAAGGTTTCCTATCCTTTCCTTTATTTTATTTTTTTATTTTTTATTTACAGCCTGTAAAAGAAATTTGTTTTTAGCAATATCAGCAAGGTTTCCTATCTTTTTTTAAAATTTTATTTTTAGCTACATATGCATCAATTAAAAATGACTAAGGTTTGATAATACTGGAGATCGAATTGGTTTCTACTTGCCAATCTGAAAATAATGAAAAATGAAAGAGTCTTTGTCATTTAATACAAAGAAGTAACTGGATTGTAAAAACTGTAATCATGCCATTAGTCAATGTTAACTTTTCTGAATCTTTGTGCCTATTGTAATGAAAAGTTCCATGTTTCTTGACTAAATCAATTACTTTTCATTCTATGGGATGAATTATTTCCCAAAACTTTATGAAATTCAGTGATATTCCCGTGGAGAATAAAGATCTCGGGACTCGCTGAAGTTTTGATTTTATTCGTAGAATGTTTTTGTGTATAGCAGGAACTAATAATACTGCACATTTGGACACCAACTTTATTGTGTTTTAAACTAAATTACGATTTATTTTGTAAATTTGTTTTTGAAAATTTCATTTTGTGGAGTCGGTGAAGATATCTGTAACTTTCTGAACCAGTTAAGATGTTTTGATGAAATTTGAAGGCTACACGCATCACCTACAAACGGTGTACATTGCATTGTAATAATTAAGGTCTCATTATGGCCTTTACCTCAAGATCAAAGGTTAAAAAAGCACAAATTTTCAGTGAAGTCTTGTCAGGGCTTGACACCATTGAAGGTATATTGATGAAAGTTGAAAGATACAGGCTTATCCCTCAGAAGATGTGCTCTGAACTGTATTTGTGTCGTCCTGACCTTCACGTCTCAGTTAACGGTCGGAGGTCATGTTTCTGTTCACAAAAACAGATCTGCAGTGATTTATATGTCATTGAGTCCTCTTTGCCCCTACTTTGCAACTGAAGGGGTTATTTGGGGGACTATGTAATAGTCCCTGTTAAAATTACAGCATCTCACTCTTCCGCTGTGATTTTGTCGAACACTCGTCTCAAAATTTAAATGCTGATTCTTATGAAACTTCTGACGAGTATTGGTGGGAATGTGCTATTAAATGGGAGTTTTCTTGATCTGATAAAAATAGCAACTATTACAACGGAATGATTGAAATAATTATGCTTATTAACTCTAATTCTGTTTGACTGCTTTTGTTCATACTCTATGGGGGAAGGTTTAATGTCTGAATTTTAGGTTTAGGATTCAAGATGGACCCCGTGACCTATGATTGGCCAAGCATATAACCTAAGTTCTACTGAACGTTGCTCAAACTTGGTGCAATGGAAGAATGCTGTTGTGAGATTGGCCGAGACATAAAGGGCTATAACTTAAGTTCTAATTTGACAACATTGTTGTTGAGATTTAAAGGGTTTTTTCCCCATTGTTTCAATGTCGGTATCTATTGTGTTAGATTGATTTGTTGTGTTAGATTAATTTGGTATTTTATACTTAGTAACTTTATTGCACTAGCTTAGGCAAGTTGTGTTTTAACTCAAGTAATTCCACTGAATGGCCTGATTGTTTCAGACTAATGAATATTGATCATTTGTCTTACTACATTTCAAATACAAAATCAGTTTTGTTTTTAATAAACTTTTTTGAATTCTAACATAAAGAGCTCACCAAAAAAAACTAGTCTTTTTTACGTCTTGTGAACATGAGTAAGATGTTGAATGAAAATTTTACAAAACTGTTATGAATGTTTTCATATCAACCAATCATTCCCATGATTTTTTTTTCTTTGTCTAATGATTATCATTTCTTCATCAACTGAAATCTTGTCATGGAGTGCACTTTGTGCACAATTACACTAAGGGGAGATAAATGTGTTTTATTCATAGTTCAGTCTTTACATTTGTCATCATAGTATTTTATGCAAGTCATTTAGACTATCAGCATTTTTCAATTTTCATAATTGTTTCATTATGAATCACCTGGTCATGACTGTCGGAAGGTCATGTGCCTTGTGTACGGGGTAGATGTCGCACGGTATTGTACAGCACCCGTCAGTACAAGTTTACCCTCGGCGACCACGGCACCCGTCAGTATAAGTTTACCCTCGGCGACCACGGCACCCGTCAGTACAAGTTTACCCTAGGCGACCACGGCACGTTCATTGTTATGATCTCGCAAATAAAATGGCTGAAAAGCAGTTTTTGTGTTGTTTGGTCTGTCCTTAACATTGTTGTGGAAGCTGAAAGTTGCTGGTCTACATCTTGAAGTGAGAATTTATGAGCTTTATACATGTATAGAACTTAGGATATAGCTGCAGCAACCTAGCTCCTGAGTTCAGTCTATTTGTATTTATAATTAATTAATTTATAATAATAATTGCGGTTCTTATATACCACTTCATCACAACCTAGTTTGTGGGTCGTCTCAGAGCGGTTCACAAATTATTATCTGTGGTTACAGGGCCTTTGCAACCAGACAATATCTTTCTCAACTCCCTGAGGAGCACATTCAACAATTCTAGCCCTGTCCAACAACTGCTGATTTACAGCTGAGTAGACTGGAACAAGCGGAGAATAGTATCTAGTTCAAAGATACAACACAGTGCCGTGATGTGACTTGAACCCGCAACCCTTCTGTCACGAGCCAGCGTCCTACCACTAGACTACTGTGCCTCCTAAATATTTAAGTATTTTATGTCAATGGCCATAAAACCATGGTATAAAACACTCGTGATTCAGCAACCGGAGATGTGCTAAACAGAACCTTAAATCTACATGTATCCACAATTTATATATACCGGAACATATACAGACAACAACACAAGATTTCCATAATCAGGTTTATTGATCAATTCTACTTATATACACTAAAGTAAAAGGATCAAACAATTACATTAAATTACAGCAATAAGTGACACACATTACGGTTCTAATAATACATGTTAGTAATGAGTGGGGTCCGTACCGATGCTTCCTATGATGATAACAGTACCATTATATATTCCTGAAGAGATTCAGAATACTTAACGACATTCGCACAATCCCAATGTATTTTCATCATACAGTATAATCATACATGTAATGATAAATAGTTTTTATCGTAAACAATCAAATTTTATCTTCTGATTTACAATATAAAGCTAACGTGGCCAGAAGAATATTAGACAAAATGACACGACGACATCACTACTTAGGAAACCCCCCTCCCTTCCCCCTCCCCACTCCCTCCCCTATCTGTGACATCGGTACTACATTGTATAAACCTCCAAACCCTGCGTTGTTAGCACCATTAACTAAACTCTCCAAACCTACGACTAGAATGGTCCAAATTGAATTATAATGTCTATGCATATTTGTAGTTTGATTCCTTAAAACTGTTCCTAGAGTGGAAAATATTCTGACAAAATTCCTGCTATATCTCTTAAAGATTGGGTCAAAAGGTTTATGAGCTTATCAGACAGGCAAAAGTATTTCTATATTGAAAGGAGACTAGATTGTGATTTTAATGTTTGATTTTTGAAATTAGCAGAATCCTCTAAATCTTGCGTTTTGCTCCACTGGAATGAGTTCATTACAAACAACAGCTTCAATTGTGATATTTTACATCAATATTTGTCGAACAGGACATTGGAAGCAGTTTCTTCAGACATTTTTATTTCTTGCAACAGGATTTCTAATGCAAAACAAATTTGAAAAACTGACCAGAATGGTATATTTTTCAGGTGATCTAGAAGTACTAAATAAAATGTCACTGTTACAATATTCTTTTATCATATAGTTTACCTCTGAAAATGATCCAGGAACCTTCTAGTATTCTAACAGTGTTCTCAAAGCTTAAACACTAGCCAAGTCTGTTTAGACTTTAGGCCAGTCTCACGGCCACAATGAAGTCCAGTCTGATAACACCAGCATAACTTAATGGAAGACGTGAGTACTAAAATATCTGTTAGGACCTATACAGCAAAGGAGACAAAACAAGGGAGACATCTTGATCCATGATTAATATATTGGTGGACCAAAATCTTTTGGTTACAATAAATTTACCATGTAACTACCATACAAGGTAACCATGAAAGTATTGCAAACGGCATGCATACATAAGTTGTTGTCTGTTGTTGTTCATATCTTCAGACATTGTATAAGAAGACTAGCAGAGGTGGATTTATCCGATTCATTCTATATGAAATATTGCAAGAACCATTCCACAACTCCTTCCTAATTATTCTCTCCCTCCCATCACAGTTTTTTCACTTCATTATTCATTTATTGATCTATGCAGTTTTAAGGACAAAACTATTAAAATTGCCTTAAATGTAACCACTATTATCAAATATAATTACTCGTAACTCTTTATTGTCGCAACATCCAACTTGTTTTCACAAGGAAAATCCGCACGCAGTGAATTTTACAGTTTATTTTTGCAAAACAACTGATTTTGAACGGGTTCATGGCCTATTATTCCAGTCAAATGTCTGGATTGATCGAGATCTGGAATCACTACTCAACAAATACAACATTAAAATCACAATTATCTTGTTCACAATTATCAAAAAGCTGTGTGTTGAGTTTAACATTCATTACCTTTGTTGATCAGAGGCTAACATTACGAGTATTAACTCACAGACTGCACACTACATTGTAGCAGGAAATAGCTTATATATAAAACAAAAGGGTGACAATCGTCAAAATTCTCAATATAGCCATAACAGACATTTATTTCAAGTAAGTTGGTAAAAAATGATGAAGGGATGGGACTTTCAACCAGGATGGAGGTGTTTATAAGGAATGGGGTGGTTATGAGCCAAAGTAACCTAATAAATAATAATTTGAGGTTCTTATATACCGCTTTATCACAACCTAGTTCGTAGGTCGTCTCAAAGCGGTTCACACACTAGACCTACAGTATTATGCAATATTGAGGAAGCTTTTATCTATCCATCCATTGTTATGCCCACCTCTAAATTCCTAGAACATCTTCATGTGTAGCTGCTACATACTCATTGTTAGTGATCAATGTGCAATTCTTTATTTTTTGTTTATCAGTTATTTTTTGTTTATCAGAGTTACTTCCCTTATGTCAATCATCGCATGTCGACATGATGCTGTCATGGTTCTTTATACTCGAACAAACGAGAGAAGCTACTTCATTTTCAAATGATAAATGATTACAGATATAACACAATGACAGATTTTAACATTTGTGAGTAGTTACCACAAACACTTACTTTTGTGGGTAAAGTTACCATATGTGAAGTATCACTGCCCATTTCTTGCTTTGAATTTTCCATGGTTATGACTTACAAATTGAAAAGTTCACTGTCTATTTTTGCTGGGTACATCCTGCATGTTCTATGATTATGATTTCTGAATCGGGAGATTCACAGGCTATTCCTTGCTGTGTATGTTGATGTTCCAACCAAACACCTGTCTGTCAAAGCCACAGGTAAACAAGTTACAGATGGGGTGATCGTCAGCCCACGCCACGGCTGTCACCATCTTGGTGTGGCCCTGAAACATACGAAACAACACCCGTGTAACAGTCGGCTCCTATTACACTTAAATCTCCCTAATAAATGTTACCATCTGCTGAGGTAAACTATAGCCACAAGTTTTGTTTACTACATACAAAGCATACTTATGATGCAGTATGCTGAGATCCAATACAAGTGGCCCACTAGTCCTGTATTTCTCACCTATTTCTTTTGTTATTTAAACTAGACAAAAAGCTGTCCTGCTTCAGAAAACTCAAGACCATTGTGGTCATCTTATATTTCTGGCCGGCTCAGGTTAACAACACCTGGATAGGGTAATATAACAGGAACACCCTATTTGCTATCAAATTTGGCCTGATAGAAATTGAGAAGAAACTAAAAGTGGCTCAGCAAATCAGAAACCAAAATTTTTCTATTTCAATAATCCTAAAATATTACTGGTACATTTGTATGAGATGATCATTTGCAGCAATTTAACATGTATAAATGCTGAGTTTTATTACTAAATACTTCCAGATTCCTATCAGTAAGAACAGACAGATGTATGTTGTCATGGGTTACAGTAAATTAATTTCTGTCTGTTACTGCGAGGCAACCGTCCGATTCTGTTACCATGGATATCATACAGACGGATGTGTCTGTTGTCGTTAGTTACAGTTAATTACCTGTCTGTTACTGCGAGGCAACCGTCCAATTCTGTTACCATGAATATCATACAGAGAAATGTGTCTGTTGTCGTTAGTTACAGTTAATTACCTGTCTGTTACTGCGAGGCAACCGTCCAATTCTGTTACCATGAATATCTTACAGAGGAATGTGTCTGTTGTCGTTAGTTACAGTTAATTACCTGTCTGTTACTGCGAGGCAACCGTCCAATTCTGTTACCATGGATATCATACAGACGGATGTGTCTGTTGTCGTGTGGAATAGCGATCATGTTATGTGCCTGGGACACGGATAATCTGAAAACACAATTAAAAAGAGTTAGGTATATCTCTATAAAATTCACAACAAGTCCATGTTGGTGACTAGCCTCTGTAAACAAACAGATTTTTACAGTAATCTTATTTTAGTGGCTTTATTTTTGCACCATTTATTCAAAGTGAAGTAACTCTTACAGAGCCCAACCAGTGTGAGTATAGCACTATGAAGCGTTTGACATAAATCTAATGCATTTCGGACATGAATAAAACATTTTCTCGTTACCAGCTACAAGCACGGTTTATCAGCTGTACCTTAATCAAATATAACAGTCAGATCCATTCTGAAATTGTTTTTCATTGACACAAAACAAAACTAACAACACACAATACTACACCTTCAGTATACTTTTGGTCATTGAAGAACAATATCCTTGTGTTGATTGTAGGAATTATATCCTCTGGCAGTAATAAAACTGAAGAAGGTTAACAGATATAGAATTGGAGAAGACAGCATCAATTACAAAATAACAATGATTAGAAGTCCCTGTGCTGACAGGATCTAGCTATGGGAAGACAAGTCATATCTCAAGTTCTATACCCTTAATTTTCCTTACTTTGCTAAAACTGTTAAGCCAATTGTAAAGAAAGTGACTTCTGTTGTGGATGTAACCTACTGTTACTAAAGTATCAGATGTCCTCTAACACATTTGTAGACTTCTTTTACTTCTGAAGTAAGAGTCATTTGTACTGGCCTCAGCCTACTCTTAATGATTCATGATTTATAAAGACTAAGTTTGTTTTGAACACAAACAGGAATTGAAAACTGATTTTGCGAACTTTTGAAAACGACAGTTTCCTTTGTCAAGCAAAGAGTGTAAATGACCCGTGCCTCAACTCTAAACCGCTGAAAAAAACTCACTAAGCCTCAGTACATTTCGAAAGCTCGCAAAATAAGTTTTCGATTCCTGTTTGTGTTCAAAACAAACCTAAGTCTTTAATATTCATACCAAACTGATGAATCTTATTCCAAAAATTCATGGTTTACATTCTTTATTCTTTATGGTTATAACACATTGGATAATATGAAGTAAGTGTCGTCTGTAGTGGCCTTAGCCTACTCTTACATCTTACTATGTAAGTGTCCACTCCCCACTGTCTGTTCACTTACCTATTGACAGAGGAGTCAGATCTGATGGCAGAGATGGGAGATCGCATGTTCTTTATATCCCAGACCTTGATAGTGCGGTCGTCACTCCCAGAAACGACCTTGTCACTTCCCGCAAACACTGCACTGGTCACGGGTCTACAATCAACACAGAATAGACGCTGAGCGTTAATAAAACCTTGTTCCTAAAATACTTTCTTCATTTAGAATTGAAAATTGTGCTGATTCTGTTCATTTGATCAAATTAAAGATAGCTCAGGACTTACTTTATTTAACTTGGGACTTACCGCATGTCACTTTTGGACTCATACAATGTGTGACCTCGGAACTAGTGACATTGGGACTTACTGCGTGTGGCCCTGGAAAACATTGACTAGCATGTTGGGGTCGCGGAAATCCCACAGCCTGAAGGTGGTGTCTTTTGATGAGGTGACGACCATCCTCTGCGTGGGGTGTGCCCGCACGTCTGTCAGCTCCTGGTCGTGTCCTGTCAGTATCACAACATAAACTCTCTTATATCTGCTCGTAACTCGTGACAAGATTCTAGACATTTATGAGCCAATTTTTGTCATGTTGAAGTTATAAATACATTTGTATATGTATATGTTCCTGGTAGATAATAAGAATTAAGTTTGTGGTCACTGATCCAGAATATATTTTACATTACTGCTTTATAGCAATAACACATTACCTGCGTAACGAATCAAAGATATCATATCATACATGTATATCAGATCAGAAGACCAGCAGTAGACTAAACCCAGCTGGTGAATACTAACAATACATTTATATAAAGCGTATAAATTTCAGAAAAATGTAGCTTATGGAGGGTAAATGTCATCATTCCTCTATCTAGAAATTCTGTCCAGATTAACAAAGTTTGACTGTAGTTGATATTGGTTTCTGTGACAACAGATGTGAACACTAACAGAACTTCCCCGACTTTCAAATCAGGATTGGAGACATTTGAACACATGCTGTCAAAATTTTGGAAAAATGTGAAATTCGGCTGAGCTGTGTACTCCTTGAGATTCATTCATTTTCTGTGAGGGAGTAAGTTTAGATTGTAATCTTGTCAGAGAATCTTGGAGATTTCATGTCTGACTGTCACAACAGAGGAAAACTGCCAGCTTTTTAGTCAATCATGTAACCATGCTGACCCTGCCATCACTACCTGTCAGAGTATTAATCTGCTCTCCTGACTCAGCGTCATACAAGATGGCGGTCCTGTCCCACGATGCCGTGATCACCTGACCTCCAGCAGCCATCCAATCAGCAGACACCACCACTCCATTGTGCCCGGTCAGCTCCAGGGAGGGTGTTCTCAGCGAACTTTCCTCGGGAGTGGATTCCAGAAAGTCTGCCAATCAACAATAACAGTTATAAATTGGTACACTGGCAATTAAAGATATAAGGAGTCTACAATATTTGTCAGTGTTGAACCCTATACTGCTGGTAGGTAGGAGTTTCTCAGGTTATTTGTGTCAATTTGATATTAGAAATTCTTGAAACTAAGGTGTAACATGAGGACCAAGGACCTTGAATCACTCACTTTGTTGTAAATAATATCCATAAACATGAAACCCATTAACACACTGCTTGACCCTTGGTCAGGTGAACTAATTAGTCCCAAGCGTTCAAGACCATAAACAAAACAAGTTTTTAAGATAAAGAGTTCTGCTCCATCAGTTATTATCATGAAAAAGAGTTTTTGACACTTGGGAGTATTCTCCCTTCTATATAGAAGATGACACATCCGAAATGAGTTTTTCTGGCTTGGAGTAACTTCCCCTGTCAAGTTATGTATTTTTCAATGTTCATTGTTTGTTTTCATAGGCCAATCAATCGGACACTCATTTAGATGCTGTGTATTTATAATTCCGTGATGGTAACATTGGTTAAGTGTAGGCTTTGCAATGTAAAGGTCCTGAGTTCAACTCCTGCAGATATTCTGCCCAACCACGTACTCATTTACAGCTCAGTAGGCTGGAGCAAGCGGAGTCAAGTATCTTGCTCAAAGATACAACAGTTCCGTGCCAGGACTCGAACCCATAACCCTTCAGTCACGAGCCTGGCGTCCTGCCACTAGACTACCATGCCTCCTTGTTTTTTCAGATGTTCAAACTTCAAAGAGCTATAATTTTGTAAAATGCATCCCAACATGTAATTTTTATGGAATAGTTCTGTTGAAAAGGACTGGCTAAACATTTCACAATTACGACAATAGTTATGATATATTTTAACTTGTTGGTACCCTTTTCCCCTAACCTTTAACCCTTTCACCACTGTAGACTACAATATGGACTCATCCATATCATCGCATGATAGAGTCTACGAAAGTTACATAGGGGTGAAAGGGTTAAGACATGAACATGCCTCATTTTAAATGTATTGCATCAGTAAAAACAGTGAATATTTGCCACAAGGTGTAGACCTTACACACTAGGAGTGACCACACTTAGGGTACTCGATGATCAGTTTTGAACAAACTGAAATGTATGAGCCCAGATATGTCTACACATCCAAGCATTAAGACATTAGCTTTTTAAGGAAGTAACAAAGATGAAACTTGAAATGTATTCTGTTCTGAACCTTTTGTGCCCCACCCTAAACCCTATGGAGGTGGGGGAAAGATCAATGATGTAAACAAACTAAAGCCCTTTTGGGCCATGGTAGGTTCGACTTAGTTACATATTTTCCCTATTTGGTCCCATCCCCCAGTCTCCAGAGAGGCCCCATTATTCCTTTACACAACATTTGATTCCTTGGTCCCAATGATACTTTACCATCTACTGAGTCTTCTTTCTCTGATCCATCGAGGTCATCCTCGCCAGATGAGTGGGATCTCTGCAAGAGAGGGTCACACCAGAAGCTGATGAATACCGGTTGTTACACGTAGTAGCAGTAACACAGTGAGTTATATTTCAAGTTTACTTCTATAGATATTGAATTCTGTTTCCTATTGTCAGTTGAAAAAAAGTTATTAATACTGAATATACAATTTATCAATAAATTATCCATATTTTTTAATAACATTTTGTATCTAAAGATAGATTTTGATGTAAGCCTCAATATTTACCTTTATAGAGGGAATGTTGATGTGAGCCCCCAATATTAACCTCTATAGAAGGGATGTTGACGTGAACCCCCAATATTAACCTCTATAGAAGGGATGTTGACGTGAGCCTCAGTATTTACCTCTATAGAAGGGATGTTGACGTGAGCCCCCAATATTAACCTCTATAGAAGGGATGTTGACGTGAGCCCCCAATATTAACCTCTATAGAAGGGATGTTGACGTGAGCCTCAGTATTTACCTCTATAGAAGGGATGTTGATGTGAGCCCCCAATATTTACCTCTATAGAAGGGATGTTGATGAAAGCCTCAATATTTACCTCTATAGAAGGGATGTTGACAAGAGCCCCCAATATTTACCTCTTTAGAAGGGATGTTGACGATAACCCCAAATATTTACCTCTATTGAAGGGATGTTGACGTGAGCCTTAGTATTTACCTCTATAGAAGGGATGTTGATGAAAGCCTCAATATTTACCTCTATAGAAGGGATGTTGACAAGAGCCCCCAATATTTACCTCTTTAGAAGGGATGTTGACGAGAACCCCAAATATTTACCTCTATTGAAGGGATGTTGACGTGAGCCTTAGTATTTACCTCTATAGAAGGGATGTTGACGCAAGCCCCCAATATTTACCTCTATAGAAGGGATGTTGACGTGAGCCTCAGTATTTAGCTCTATAGAAGGGATGTTGACGCAAGCCCCCAATATTTACCTCTATAGAATGGATGATGACGTGAGCCTCAGTATTTACCTCTATAGAAGGGATGTTGCATGAGTCCCCCAATAATTACCTCTTTAAAAGGGATGTTGACGTGAGCCCCCAATATTAACCTCTATAGAAGGGATGTTGACATGAACCTCAGTATTTACCTCTATAGAAGGGATGTTGACGTGAGCCCCCAATGTTTACCTCTATAGAAGGGATGTTGACGTGAGCCTCAGTATTTACCTCTATAGAAGGGATGTTGCATGAGTCCCCCAATAATTACCTCTTTAAAAGGGATGTTGACGTGAGCCCCCAATATTAACCTCTATAGAAGGGATGTTGACATGAACCTCAGTATTTACCTCTATAGAAGGGATGTTGATGTGAGCCCCCAATATTTACCTCTATAGAAGGGATGTTGACGTGAGCCCCCCAGATGTGAGCAGTTTGATCCCCGGAAGCAGTCAGTGCCAGCTCCTGAGCGGGGTGGAAGCGAATGGAGTTAACTGAGCCTTGATGTCCCTGGTACTGCAGCAGACAGGTCCCCGAGTGTATACACCAGACACGGGCCGTGTGATCTGTCAATTACACACACAGGACTGTCAATTACACACACAGGACTGTCAATTACACACACAGGATAGACAACTCACATACGACGTCATTATATTACACATATTTTTAATGAGATCTTGTTTGCGATATATTGCAGTTTAACAAACAATACATGTCACAGGCTATTTCGGGTCTGGTAACAAGATGATGAATAATGTACATAATTATATAACAGATCAACTATTGGTGACAACATGTGTCGTAACACATTTAATGTAGTCAATAAAATAAATCAATGCAAAGGAAGAATGAAACTGCTTCACTAATAATCAATATAGGAGTATTGAAGGCCATGCAATACTTTATGAATATCTATAGTTAGTTATCTGATAGAGTACAGATGCTGAAATATTCAGGAGTGTACCCAGGCCAAAGGGTTTAATTTACGTGGGAGTGTACCCAGGCCAAAGGGTTTAATTTACGTGGGAGTGTACCCAGGCCAAAGGGTTTAACTAACCTGAGGCAGAACCCACGCCAAAGGGTTTAATTTACCTGAGAGAGTACCCAAGCCAAACAGTTTAATTTACCTGCTGAAGCTGTTCCAATAAGCTGTTGGTCTGATCGCGCAACTGTGACCTCCCAAACTCCATCGCGATGTCCCCGGTAGTCGCGGGCAACAGCGTAGATGGGAGAAGGGTTACGGAAGCTGGATACTATCTTACTGGTCGAGACTTTGTAGGTAGACTTTATTTTCTGGGAAATTTGACTGGCTGCTGAAACAAAATACCATAACTATAACAAAATCACCATACCAAATCCACCTAAATATTAGTCCAGTTTCAAACAATCACTCATTCACTTAATCAATTACCGTAATTAAGTTACCTAGATCTTCTTTAACAATTTTAATAATTATTCACCCCAAGTCACTGTAGAAGCGTACAAGTTGGTTTTGCAATACTTAAATTTCTATTTATCTGGGCCCGTATTCATGAAGCCGTCCTCATTCTCAAGCATGGATTATGAGCTCAAGCCTAATTTCTTGTTCTGGTTATAACTCAATAAATAAATCTTATTTTGTCAATGATTTGGAAACATTTTGAAGAGACTTATAGCCAAATACTGTTTTCAATGTTTAGATTTGACTTTTTGATCATTTCACATGATCTAAGGTAGTTACCAGAAAGTTGGTTTGAGCACAGATTTGATGCTTGAGCAGGAGAACGGTTTCATGAAAACGGGCCCAGTTTCAACATATAACCTGGTATGACTTTAATTCTATTGCTCAAATAACATGATTTCCAAGTACCTGATATACTTTGCTGTTTTCTAAAGGAAAGTCTAGCTAGTGGAAACATGAAAACCAACAATAAAACCACGAAATCTAGAGGCTGAAACTCCAGCTTATATGTCTTTTGTGTTTACCTTCCGTGATGGGGCTCTACTGAATACTGATGGGTATCCATCTTTGATTCCTTCAACTACCTAACACCATGCATAGACAACTGTCCATTGGTTCTTTCGCACTCCGATAGCATAGGAGTCCCATTTTCTTTTGTTTTCTGATATAAAATGGTCTTATCAATTGATGTACTGTAAAGGGCTTTTATTAGAACAAATATGATATTAAAATTTTACATTTCTCTTCCAAGTTGGAAACATTTAATCCTACTTACATCTCTTGGGTTTATTGACCTCGAGGTGGTCGGTGGTGTCCTGGTTTTCAGACACTGGTTTTTCACCACCACTGCAGACATCGAGGCGCTCTGTCAGTCCCTCAACGCGGTCCTGTACTGTAACATCAACAGACAAGGTCAATTTTATTCAATACCAATAGTTCAAATCAAGGGCAATCTTCTGTAACATCAGCAGCAAATGTAGTCAATTCTGTACTGTAATATCAACAGTGAAAGTCAAGGGTGATAAACCGTATAGACACACATAGATACAGGGTCATCACATAGATACTAGACAGATACAGGGTCATCACATAGGTACTACATAGATACAGGGTCATCACATAGATACTACATAGATATAGGATCATCACATAGATACTACACAGATACATGGTCATCACATAGATACTACACAGATACAGGGTCATGACATTGATACTACACAGATACAGGGTCATCACATAGAAAATACATAGATACAGGGTCATCACATAGATACTACACAGATACAGGGTCATCACATAGATACTACACAGATACAGGGTCATTACATAGATACTACATAGATACAGGGTCATCACATAGATACTACATAGATATAGGATCATCACATAGATACTACACAGATACAGGGTCATCACATAGATACTACACAGATACAGGCCTAGGGTCATCACATAGATACTACACAGATACAGGGTCATCACATAGAAACTACATAGGTACAGGATCATCACATAGATACTACACAGATACAGAATCATCACATAGATACCACACAGATACAGGGTCATCACATAGATACTAAATAGATACAGGGTCATCACATAGATACAACACAGATACAGGGTCATCATATAGATACTACATAGATACAGGGTCATCACATAGGTACTACACAGATACAGGGTCATCACATAGAAACTACATAGGTACAGGATCATCACATAGATACTACACAGACACAGGGTCATCACATAGATACTACACAGATACAGGCCTAGGGTCATCACATACATACTACACAGATACAGGCCTAGGGTCATCACATAGATACTACACAGATACAGGGTCATGACATTGATACTACACAGATACAGGGTCACCACATAGATACTACACAGATACAGAATCATCACATAGATACTACACAGATACAGGGTCATCACATAGATACTAAATAGATACAGGGTCATCACATAGATACAACACAGATACAGGGTCACCACATAGATACTACACAGATACAGGGTCATCACATAGATACTACATAGATACAGGGTCCTCACATATAGAAACAGGGTCATAACACATAGATACAGGGTCATCACATAGATAATACATAGATACAGGGTCATCACATAGATACAACACAGATACAGGGTCATCACAAAGATAATACATAGATACAGGGTCATCACATATAGATACAGGGTCAAAATGCATAGATACAGGGTCAAAATACATAGATCCAGGGTCATCACACATAGATACAGGGTCAAAACACACAGAAACAGGGTTATCAAACATAGAAACAGGGTCACCATAAATACCTACAGGGTCATAACACATAGATACAGGGTCATAACACATAAATACAGGGTCATAACACATTAAATACAGGGTCATAACACATAGATACAGGGTCATAACACATAAATACAGGGTCATAACACATAAATACAGGGTCATAACACATAAATACAGGGTCATAACACATAAATACAGGGTCATAACACATAAATACAGGGTCATAACACATAAATACAGGGTCATAACACATAAATACAGGGTCATAACACATAAATACAGGGTCATAACACATAAATACAGGGTCATAACACATAAATACAGGGTCATAACACATAAATACAGGGTCATAACACATAAATACAGGGTCATAACACATAAATACAGGGTCATAACACATAAATACAGGGTCATAACACATAAATACAGGGTCATAACACATAAATACAGGGTCATAACACATAAATACAGGGTCATCACATAAATACAGGGTCATAACATATAGATACAGGGTCATAACATATAGATACAGGGCCATAACACATAGATACAGGGTCATCACATAAATACAGGGTCATAACACATAAATACAGGGTCATAACACATAAATACAGGGTCATATCACATATATACAGGTTCATAACACATAGATACAGGGTCATAACACATAAATACAGGGTCATAACACATAGATACAGGGTCATAACACATAGATACAGTGTCAAAACACTTAGATACAGGGTCATCACATAGATACTACAATGTTGCAGTCCAATGATGCAGGCAGTATTGCCTAGCTGTACAAATCAATCACTGTGACAGGGCTGGGACACTCGTGACTAGTTGTATACACCCATTACTGTGACAGGGCTGAGACACTATTGACCAGCTGTACATGCCTATTACTGTGACAGGGCTTGGACACTATTAACTAGCTGTACACACATATTACTGTGACAGGGCTTGGACACTAGTGACTAGCTTACAGTACACACCTATTACTGTGACAGGGCTGGGATAGTAGTGACTAGCTGTACAGACCCAACACTGTGACAGGACTGGGATACTAGTGACTAGCTGTACCCACCCATTCCTGTGACAGGACTGGGACACTAGCGACTAGCTGTACATCCCATTACTGTGACAGGGCTGGGACACTAGTGACTAGTTGTAAACACCCATTACTGTGACAGGGCTGTGACACTATTGACTAGCTGTATACACCCATTACTGTGACAGGGCTGTGACACTATTGACTAGTTGTACACACCCATTACTGTGACAGGGCTGGGACACTAGTGACTAGCTATAGCTGAATACACCCATTACTGTGACAGGGCTGTGACACTATTGACTAGCTGTATACACCCATTACTGTGACAGGGCTGTGACACTATTGACTAGTTGTACACACCTATTACTTTGACAAGACTGGGACACTAGTGACTAGCTGTACACACCCATTACTGTGACAGGGCTGGGACACTAGTGACTAGCTATACACACCAATTACTGTGACAGGGCTGGGACACTAGGGACTAGCTGTACACACATATTACTGTGACAGGGCTTGGACACTAGTGACCAACTTACAGTACACACCTATTACTGTGACAGGGCTGGGATAGTAGTGACTAGCTGTACAGACCCAACACTGTGACAGGACTGGGATACTAGTGACTAGCTGAATACACCCATTACTGTGACAGGGCTGGGACACTAGTGACTAGCTGTACACACCCATTACTGTGACAGGGCTGTGACACTATTGACTAGCTGTATACACCCATTACTGTGACAGGGCTGTGACACTATTGACTAGTTGTACACACCTATTACTTTGACAAGACTGGGACACTAGTGACTAGCTGTACACACCCATTACTGTGACAGGGCTTGGACACTATTGACTAGCTGTACACACCCATTACTGTGACGAGGCTGGGACACTATTTACTAGCTGTACACACCCATTACTGTGACAGGGATGGGACACTATTGACTAGCTGTACACACCCATTACTGTGACAGGGCTGGGACACTATTGACTAGCTGTACACACCCATTACTGTGACAGGGCTGGGACACTATTGACTAGCTGTACACACCCATTACTGTGACAGGGCTGGGACACTATTGACTAGCTGTACACACCCATTACTGTGACAGGGCTGGGACACTATTGACTAGCTGTACACACCCATTACTGTGACAGGGCTGGGACACTATTGACTAGCTGTACACACCCATTACTGTGACAGGGCTGGGACACTATTGACTAGCTGTACACACCCATTACTGTGACAGGGCTGGGACACTATTGACTAGCTGTACACACCCATTACTGTGACAGGGCTGGGACACTAGTGACTAGCTGTACACACCCATTACTGTGACAGGGCTGGGACACTATTGACTAGCTGTACACACCCATTACTGTGACAGGGCTGGGACACTAGTGACTAGCTATACACACCAATTACTGTGACAGGGCTGGGACACTAGGGACTAGCTGTACAGACCCATTACTGTGACAGGGCTGGGACACTATTGACTAGCTGTACACACCCATTACTGTGACGAGGCTGGGACACTATTTACTAGCTGTACACACCCATTACTGTGACAGGGCTGGGACACTATTAACTAGCTATACACACCCATTACTGTGACAGGGCTGTGACACTAGTGACTAGCTGTATACACCCATTACTGTGACAGGGCTGGGACACTAGTGACTAGCTGTTCACACATATTACTGTGACAGGACTGGGACACTAGTGACTAGCTGTACACACCCATTACTGTGACAGGGCTGGGACACTAGTGACTAGCTGTACACACCCATTATTGTGACAGGGCTTATTCCCCTGGGAAGTGCTACTACATCAAATCTATATACCTCGCCTTGAAATATCTTCACAATTTCTCACTTAATATTCATCAAATATTTATGTCCATTTCTCACCACACACAGGCTGTTTCTTAGCAACCACAACACTTATGTAGCGTGGTGACCAGTATCCACATAAGTGTGCCTTACATCTATTATACTGTATGTTATATCTGTATTCTTAGGCTATAAAACCTGTATCACAGAAAAATAACTTGATAGAAATCCCTCAGGGCTGGGTATGGGAAAATGTCAACAAAGTGATTTTCTTCGAGCAGTGATGTTACTGATACACGCTATATGATAGAGATCATATTTAATCTATGCTACAAATACTCACATGCTAAATTTTCTGCATACAAGTTCTCAAACTCCTTTTCTATTTCTCTAAAGAGATCATTCAGCCTTCCCCTGTAAAGTGAAGATAATTCTTATAATCAACAGAAAAGTATAGATTTTATGAAGAAGTGTAGCAAGACAAAGAATTAGTTACAACAGACAAGAACAGAACTAGGAAAATCAACCATCCCAACTCTAGACGGGACAACCCAACTTTAGAAAGAAGGAAACGGTAAAAAGGGGCCCCTGGCACTTGTTACAATAGTAGATAAAATGCCATACTGCCTCATATCAACAAACAAGGGACCTTGAGTTTTTGCCTCATCTCCACATTGTCATCAGTCTCTGCTGGAGAGATGGTGAGATACCACAGGTGAAGAGAAATGTAAATATTGTCAGCCTGTTTATAGAGAAGACGTTAAACCCAGTGACCGTAGAATATCCCTTTTCAGTGTTAACAGACAGGTGTTCACTCAGGCTCTTTTTGTTTGATCACAGCTTTTATATGATCACCTATACCCAAAGACAAAGCGTAGGTGGCATTTGATCTGATCAGTTCACCACTTATATGACAACTCCAAGAAAAGATTTTGACCGGTACCAATGGCTCTTATAATGTTGTCTGATGTTTTGAATACATTTGACCCTTGTCACCTTGAATGTTAAGTAAAGGTCATTTGAGCCCTTCACTTCATCATTAGTAAACTACATATAAATGGTATCACAGATTTTGAAAACATGTTTTTAAGTTTTCCACCCTTTAGACCGTGAAAGTGGGTCAAGGTCATTTATTGACCAGTTCTGATAGCAACCTAAATTAATCCACCAAATTAAACTACATGCCAGATGTCATAATCAGCCAAAGGCTTTATGGTTCCTCAGAGGAAGATATATACAGGATAATCCCAAGCAAGCACTTTCTGTAAGAGAGAATTTTATGTTCAGATGAATTTTACTGGCCTACATGACCTGTGTCTTAACCAATTTTCTATTTATAGTAACAGTGACCTTGAAATTTGATATTTTGACCTGAAAAAACAATCCCATGCCAAGCCTTTTCAGTGAAGAAGCACTATCTTCAGGAGAACAGACAGTTAGAGGGACAAGCGTGATTAAAATATCCACTCCAATGTCTATCAAGGGGGATAATTTAGTAACTAGAGTGCCTAAAATTTGGAACAATGACCTTGACGTTGAGTGCAGCACCAGAAACACTAACGTTTTTAAGGACCATTACCTTACCTAGCTAACACAAGTTTCATCTAAATACATTGAGAAATTCACCAGAATAGTGGCAATATATTTATCTTTTTAAATAGTAACCACAACTTTTTTGACTCTTTGAGCAGTGCCCCTTTAACATGAAATCTTTCCAGGTGTACATCAATAATTAATTAGAACACAGTAATCATCAGCTGTACTACAGTGCTCTTTTGTTTTGGTATACAATAAACATCATTAATTTAGAAACCAAAACTCTATTTTAATTGCCTTACAGCTATATATAGGACTAACATCAATTGATCCTTTGTTACATTCGAACAGATCCATTTAGGTTTGAATATACATGTGTATTCTGTATAGGATAGACAGCTATGTATCTGTATATACATTTATAGATTTTGGTTTGGTTTGGTTTAATTTTGTTTAACGTCCTAATTACAGCCAAAGTCATTTAAGGACGTGCCTCGATGTGTGTAGTGTATGCCTGCTTGTGTGTGTGTATGCAGGAGATGGGTATGTTGGTGTACTTGCCGCCTTGTGATAGTGCGGATATGATGCCGACTTTATAGTGCTATCTCACTGAAATGCCATGCCGAAGGCACCCAGCACAGCATTCCGCCGGGTCAAATTATACTGACAATGGGTGAACCAGTTGTTGCCATTCCCCTAAATGCTGAATGTTAAGCAGGGAATAACAACTACCATTTTTAAGGACTTTGGTATGTCCCGCCCTGGGGACAGAACCCATTGCCTTCCTCACCTGGGCGAACGCTCAACATTAAGGCCTAGGCCAAAAGTGAGGTGTTGCCAAGCAAGGCGCTAGAAAATAAAAGATAGTTAGAAGTAGAAAGAAAGATTAAGATCCCAAATATTGCAATAGGTGCAGCATATCAATTTTTGGTCGCTTTTGTGTCCTCAAATAGAGGACACCAAAACTAATCCCGAATTTTGCAGGAGGTTCACGCAATAGTCGCCTCATACGATACATGTAGTGGGTAATTAACAGCAGGTGTATTCTTTTCCCGATCCCCCACCTGCAGGGGTAACGTTTATAGTAGGCTAGATTTGTGACAATCGTGGTTGTTTATACACTGTTCAGGATAAGTATGTACATGTAGCCACTATTGAAACTATAACTGCCATCTGGCGGAGAGCTTATACCCCAGCAGATGCTGGTAGTTTATACATAATTTAGTGACCTTGACCTTGCAGGGTCCAATTTACGGAAATGGGAATTCTCTCGAGATATTTTGGCTCTTTACATATAATCCATCTGTTAATTAAGGAGGAGTTGTGCAGACAAGGGGCATTACTATTATCATGAAGTGTTGAAATCAATAATTAAAAAGCTCGTGCACAATGACATAAAACACTTATCCTTCAAGCAAAGTTTCGATAAAATCTGCTTGTTAGTTAAGATGGAGCTTTCCGGACAATTTATTTTGCATAAAGGGCCATAACTCCATCAAAAAGTGATGAAATCTGAAATTAAAATGCCGGTGCACAACTACATAACATACTGATCATTCAAATGAAGTTTCAATAAAATCTGCCTGTTAGTTAAGATGGAGATTTCCGGACAGGCTACTGTGGACAGACATCCAGACAGTCAGACAGGGCGATTTCCGTTTACTCCCCCTAACTTCGTTGTAATTGAAGTTGCATAAATGTTTTAGCAAATTTCACCCACAGGGTCAAGGTCATTCTCTGGAACAAATTTGATAGCACTTCTTCCAAGCATGCTACTGGCCAAATATCACGACTATATGCTTCTTTATAAAAAGTTGTTTAAAACTTTATTTAACATATTGGATTGCTATTACCTTAAAAAAAGGTCAAGATCATTCATTCAAACAACCTTGATAGCCCTTTATTCCTTCATGTCAATGGCCAAATATCATTACTGTAAGTCTCATCATTCTTCAGAAGAATTTGCTTAAGGTAAAAAGATGAAACCTAATGAACACACAATGTAGCACCTCCTAAGCTCTGGGTCTTTTAGTGCCAGGTAAGCTGGGTCACTTAAGTAAGCTGGGTCACTTAAGTAAGCTGGGTCACTTAGGTAAGCTGGGTCATTGGAAGCTGGGTCATTTATTGCCAAGTGAGCTGAAAATTACACCTTTTATAATGCCTGAAAATAATTATGCTACTCATGAAGTTTGTGTAATTATAAATTATGACAAATTAGTAGTCCTACCTGACACCAGGGGGCAGTAGTCCATCGATGTCCGAGTCGTATCTACTCATGATGGCTTGAGAGCTGCCATCGTCCTGTCGCTGTGTCCCAGCTCCTCGAGCACCAGCTTTCACTTTCATAGACTTCACAACACTGTCAGACGGCATGCTCACACTTGATTGGCCGACTTGGGATGTGATCTTACACCTGATTGGTCCACCATTAGCACGTCATCCACACCACAGGATCACAGCAAACTCTCACCTTTTGACAGCAACTGTAATTTTCAACAGTTTAAAAATTCATGATCTGTCAGTGACAAGAATATAGTAGCAGGCTAGCAACGGCATTGTACTACAGACAAACAGGGCAGAGAATGGTCTCTGGAGGGAAAGCTAGACTGCTACGGAGGCAGGTCATATTGTGGTCACAGTAGATAGAGCTGTAAGTGTGTTCAACAGTGATGTCTTCACAGAATTATCATCAACTCTGTACATGTATGAAGTGTATTCACTGGAATCATAACAGACCTTCAGACATATCTCTCAGTCACAGAACAGTGCCCTGTGAATATTGTAAACCAGACAACAGTACCCATGGGCTTTAACACATGCACCCCTGAAGACACATTTGAACTCTTCCAATTCAAAAGTTGGAATAGTTCATTATGAAATTTCAGGGGTGAATGAGTTAACAGTCACCAGTGTTATGAAATAATTATTTGTTGTTGTGATGTGACAAAGAATATTTAAATATGGATTTTTAGATAAAGTGATGCTGGGAAGTGACTTAATTACAATGTATATCACATATCAAGCCTGGTAAAAACAGAGAAAGCCTCTGCAATCTCCAGAGCACCAGTTATAAAATGTCAATTATTATAGAACTAAAACATGCTTCAAGCCCTGCTACCATTGTGAAAAAGTTACCTTTATAAGGTCATTAATTATTCCACCTAAGTTTCACCAAGATGGCTTGGGTTTTATTTGAATGCGACAAAGCATGGGGTCACCTGCCTGATCATGTGTGTTTTCTCCACATTACAACCCTGAGGTTACATACAAAAGTGTGATTAATATCAGTCAAAATAAATAAAGTTTATATTTTAAAAAATAAAGAAAATTGAATTGTTAGCCAAGTTCACCCCCTTTGGTCATAATTAACCTCAGGCCCCGCACAGGTGAGATCAATAATTGGAATAATAATTGGAGGTTCTTATATACCGCTTTATCACAACCTAGTTTGTAGGTCGTCTCAAAGCGGTTCACAAATTATTATCCGTAGTTATAGGGCCTTTGCAACCAGCCAATACCTTTCTCAACTCCCTGGGGAGCATACAGCCGGAGCTGCCATTTCGGCGCTAACAGCTAGCATTCAACAATTCTAGCACTGCCCAACCACGTACTCATTTACAGCTAAGTAGACTGGAACAAGCGGAGTAAAGTATCTTGCTCAAAGATACAACACATTGCCCTGCCGTGGCTCGAGCCCGGCATCCTACCACTGGACTACCGTGCCTCCTAATATTTCTGTGAACAACAACAAAGTAGTTCACAGTTTTTNTCGAGCCCGGCATCCTACCACTGGACTACCGTGCCTCCTAATATTTCTGTGAACAACAACAAAGTAGTTCACAGTTTTTATTTGTCTTTGGTAATGGAAGATCCTTGCAATATTTTTATTGAAATCATCAGTTCAATGGTTTTTGAGAAGAAATGTTCAAATCCAAATTGTAAGTTGTTTGTAGACATACAACACGCAATAATGAACAAAAGGCAATTGCAATAAGTCATATAATATTTTGTATGTGCCAATCGGATGATAATACAAGCAGCGCATTTGGTATTTAAAATCAACCTATGAACAGCAACATCTGTTCAGGACAGTGAAAACATTAGTTACCAATACCTGGAGGAAGCTAGAAAAAAATCTCATTACATACCAAAATTATTTTGAATTGACCTTAATAGATACAGGTATTGATGTATGGTTATATAGATGTACGTGTACTGTACACGCAGATAAAATGTAACCGTAGCATCCATACCTGTGAATTATCAGACAACTGCTTTATTTCGTGTATCACCAGTAAACCGTTAAAAAGGTGTGAAAGTCCACATATAGTTATCAATGAACTCTTCTCCGCGATCAATTCAATCAACTACGTATGCATACTTGTACTAGAACTGTGCCTGACAGCTGTACAACCCAATTTTATGGTAATTGTTATAATATGAAACATGCATTAAGGAATAAGAAAAAGGTACAAAAGATGTCCCAATGAATTTCTCAAACTAGGCTAATATCATCTGATTTGTTTTCAGTAAAACCTAGCAAATCCTGCACATGCACTGTTTTTTGTCTATGATACAGAGCAGTGCCATGCATTCAGTCCAATTCTTAATATTTTCAGAAAGAGTTTACCTGGAAAATTTGTCAGGACAATTATAATCTACAACCAAACAACCAAAGTCAACCAGGAGTAAACCTAAAATCACACCCAAAATGATGCATTTGCAACAATACATGCAGTGATATTAATTCTCAACATGGACTACATCTATATGGTTACATGTGAGGCGGAACTGGACTGGGTCAATCGTTGGCGACCAGGTACATAGCTCAATTGGTATGATTTGAATCCCGGTCTGGTCGTGCATTTTTCCATCTCCTGTTACACATGATAGGTTTTCAAGCAAGAATTCTTATGGAACTGTTTCTTTCATCTGTTTTTCAACGCTATTGACAAACTTATCTTTTTAAATTGATCAAAATAAAATACACATTGTCATGTAAACATGTCGGAACGGACTGAATATGTTTTCTCTTTATTCAATAGCCTCTGTGCATTTTCAATTTTCTGGAAGCATTTAATTTACAAATATTAGAATCCAGACTTGGAATTTCCTCTATTGTCAGCTAAAACTGTAACAATGCATCCTCATGAAGAATTAAGTGGAAAACATCATTCAATCCAATTTAAGAATTTAACCTTGAACGGCTTTGACCCTTGACAGAATAAACCCCAAAAAGGTTGTTACTGTCTTCAATTCATTAACATCTTTCCTGGTGCTATATAATTATAATCACCAAGGAGATTGGTAAAGCTGATGTTAGAAGTTACAAACAGAATTAATAGTGTTGATAGCTGCCCATATATGGACAAATGGACAAAACGACACCATTATAACTCCCCAGTAAGGCAGGTATAAACAAAAGACGTAATACAGTTACAAAAGTAATAATATCGTAACAGGCAGAGACAAATAATTATTTTAGGCAATATTAAGCCCATTGATTGCTTGTGACTTGAGGTATTCCTGAGGCAATTACAGCAGCCAAGCTTGATGCATTGATCAGACAGTGGCTGTGAATGCTCCAATATTGATGGGTGTTGAGATCCGGGGAAGATTACTCACAATCGCGGCAGACCAATACACTAGTCTACAGAAAAAAATTGACTTGAACACTTTGTTACAAAACTTGTAAGTCTCATTTCCTGTGTGTAAATGTCAGAGTTAAGACCGTGGGTAGAAGCTGAAGGCATGCCGGCATCTATAGAGCCATAACACAGGTCACCATCGGCAGCTCAACAGACTTGCACAAGTCTTTTATGTTCCGTTTTTTTTGGGGTCTTTTTTAATGTACATGTTTATATTTGCTTAAGTTCTCAAAATGTAAGATAGTATAATATAGTCATGCATTATCATATATAGGATATGTTCCATAGTTCATATGCAGCTACCATCCTCTTTTAAGTCACTTGTATTGTTCTAATCTTATCTAGAATGGGGTCAGGTGCACCTGGACACTCAAAGAGAAATTAGTGAAATTACAAAACCACTTCATTTTTTACTTCAATTTTTTATGAACTGATAATCTCTAAGGTCTTAAAGAGGTGATGCAGAACACGAAGACTGAGGCACATTGGGCAA